TGCGGCTGGAGAGCGCCCCCTGCTGTCAAAGTCCAGCTGGCACTACACAGCCTGAACGCTGGGAGCCCAGGGAAGTGTGGATCATCCAGGGAGCTGTGGCCATGGGATACACTTCTGCTCGCCCTGGCAGAAAAAGGGCTCAGTCTCTCTGTGCCAACATCCGTCTGTAGCGACAATAGGTTTAACAGTTCCTCTGTGGGGAGAGCGGCTCTCTAGGGCTCGATTAAGAGAATGGGGTTTGGTTTGAGGCCTGGCTCCACCTCATACTACCCGCAGACTTGGGCATGTGGTTTAACCTCTGAAACCAGTTTCTTCATTAAACTGAGATAATCAATAGCACAATACATCACAGCAATGGTTCCCAGAGATAATTCATGTAAAGCGCACACTGAGCTTTCAATAACAGTAACTCGCTGGTATCGATTCTGCTGACACCCCTACAACTGAGCGATAAGAGAGCTAACAAGGGCTCATGGACGGAAGTCAGGGGATTTGTTTTTCCAAAGCACTTTCATCATTAAATGGATCTGGTCTAGTTCCATGGGCATATTTGAGGAAAACAACTTTGCCTAAAGGGGAAATAAATGCCAGAGACATTCACAGAAACATCAACCACAAACAATTACTAAACACATTGATCAATGCTCCAAGCTACACAATAAAGAGAGGGAGAAAGTTATGCTCCGGGAGCTTCTATCCTGTGCTGTCAGTTCCCCCCACCTCATCGCTAGATTATATCTACAGATATGCTGAACTATCTCCCTAAGAAAAAGTGATCCAGCAAAAGGCCCTCCAGCCAGTGCCCACCTCAAATGCCAACAGCCAATTTGTTGAAAGACTTCATAGTGTCTTCTGCTCCTGTCAGCTCCTCTGAAGTCCTGAGGGGTCAGATATTTGTGCTCACTCACCCTGCCCTTGTCAAGGTCAACATGGCCTCCGCACAGTGGTCTATTTTCAAACCTCACCCTTCCACCATTAGCAACGCTGATGTCATTGGTGGAGCACACTCTCCCCTTGGAACACAGTGCCTTCTACTCTCTGAGTTCATTTTAGGTTTCTTTGACTGTCTGCTCATCTTCTCAAACCTCTTCTTGTCTTTCCCATTTTAACAGTGGCAACTTCAGACTTGCCATTACTCAAGTCAAACAATGTGGTCATCCTTGCTCCTGACTGCCTCTTCCTTCGGAATTCCTTTTAAAAAAAAAAATTATACAAGGTCTCATGTAGCCCAGGTTAGCCTTGAACTCAATACATAGCTGAAGATGACCTTGAACTGGGATTACAGGCATGCCTCCACCATGCCCAGCTTTGTGTAGTGTTGGAGATCAAACTGAGGGCCTTGTGTATGTAAGCACTCTGACCACTGGGCTACCTTCACAGCCCTTACTGCCTCTCTTTCACACCCTGCCTTGTACATCAGCAAATCCAGTCAGTTTTACCTTCCAGGTGTTTCTAGAATCTCCCTGATTCTTGATCTCTCCACAACTCTGCACAGTCCAAACCATCATCATCCCCTGGTTGGCCTCACAGCTTCTATCTACCATCCTCTGTTGGTATCTCCATATGCCAGCAGACAGTCTTTTACATCAAAAGTCACTTTTTTCCTCTCTCAGAGAGCAGGATTCGGGGACTTCTGTCATAGCCAGGGTCACCTATGATCTTGCCCTTGGTGTCTTCTCTGACTTCATCTCCTGATCTCATGTCTGCCATGCCTCCTGCTGTTGCTGGAGTGCACCCAGCGTTACTCTGTTACCTCTTTTCTTTCTTCATAGAATGCTCTGGCCTCAGGCACCAATGAGGCTTTTTCCTCACGTCACTCACTCTGCACCCATCTTAGCAGACAGGCCTTCTTTGACTATTTCTAAATAAAATACAAAGCCCATCCCTTCCCCTCATTATGTTGAATTTTTATAGCATTCATCACTCCCTGACATGTTATAAATCTAATAGTTACTTTGTTTCTTCCAACTAGATCATAGGCTCCAGGGGAGGAGGAACTTTGTTTTGGTCACTGCTGTTTCTGCAGGTCTAGGCATGCAAGGCTTGATACACCATAGCTTGGTAAGTGGTTGACTTGCAGGAATGGATTAGTCCACGCTGCCAGCCCAGACCCATAACTCAGGGCCAGGCATGTACTCATGACTCTGCCTTGCAATAATCTGTGAGACAAGGATTGATAGTGACTCTACCTTCTAGGTTTCAAAAGTGGGGGTCATGGGTTGGTAGATAAAGGTACTTCCCAACAAGTCTGATGACCTGAGTTCAATCCCCAGATCCTACATGGTAGGAGAGAATCAACTCCCACAGGTGTCTTCTGATCTCCACACGCACACCATGGCATATGTGCACCAACCCCCACCACACACACACACATACACACACACACACACACACACATACACAGAGATGAATAAAAGTACTTTAAATTTTTTTAATTTTATTTATTATTTTTATTTTATGTGTATGTATGTATTGCTTGCATGTAGGTAAGTGCATCCGTGTCATGCAATGCCCGAGGAGGTCAGAAGAAAACCATGGCATATGTGCACCAACCCCCACCACACACACACACATACACACACACACACACACACACATACACAGAGATGAATAAAAGTACTTTAAATTTTTTTAATTTTATTTATTATTTTTATTTTATGTGTATGTATGTATTGCTTGCATGTAGGTAAGTGCATCTGTGTCATGCAATGCCCGAGGAGGTCAGAAGAAGCTGATCCCCTGGGACTGGAGTTACAGCAGTTGTTAGCTGCCATGTAGGTGCCGGGATTCAAATCCGGGTCTTCTGCAAGAACAAACAGTGTTCTTAACCACCGAGCCATCTCTCCAGCCCCTAAAAGTACTTTAAATTTTTTAAAGAAAAAATCTTTAAAAATAATAATCATGGGGCTGAACGTGGTGGCTCACGCCCTTAATCCCAGCACTTGGGAGGCAGAGGAAGGCGGATCTCTGTGAGTTCGAGGCCAGCTTGGTCTACATAGCGAGTTCCAGGTCAGCTGGAGCTACAGGGAGACCCTGTCTCAAAAAGACAAAAAAAAGAAAGAAAAGAAAAAGAAAAAAAGGAAAAATAATAATCATGCTGGCTCAGTAGTTAAAAGCACTTGTGGCTCTTGCAGAGGACCAGAGTTCAGTTCCCAGCACCAGTGTAGAGCAGCTCACAACTACCTGTAACCACAGCTCCAGGGATCCCATGGCTTCTTCTGGCACTGCACCCATGTATATACAGACACACACAGACACAGAAACAAACATTCACAGATACACACACACATACACACACACACACACACACACACAGAATAACAAATAAACCTTAAAAAATTAGCAATCATGGGGCTGCAGAGATGGCTCAGCAGTTAAGAGTACTGACTGCTCTTGCAGAGGACCTACATTTGGCTCCCAGAACCCACATGGAGGCTAACAGCCAACTGTTACTCCAGTTCCAGAGGATCTAACACCCTCTTCTGACCTCCATGGGTACTGCATGATATGGATGCACTTACATACATGCAAGCAATACACTCATACATAAAATAAAAATAATAAATTAAAAATTAGCAATCATATAAAACTCAGAGCTTCAAATATATAATATGATCCTTCTACCCGTAGATCAGCCTATTAGATTTCTTCTTCCCCCATCAGAGAGCTGAGACACTTGTAAAATAATCCTTCAGATTCCCCCTCTGCTGTATCTTGCCATCAGCCTCTCATTCATTGTCCCAGCAACATGCTCGAAGAAATGAGCTGAATATTCAGGGTGAGGCCAGCTGGAGCTGGGATAGTCCCGGCTGTTTCTAATAACATTCTTAAACAAAACAGAGATGCAGCTGACCTTTAGAGAATCTTTGTGAGAAAGAGGGTCATTGCTTCTCAATACAAATCCCCTTTCATGTTTCACCTAAAGATAAACTGGAGGATTGTGTGTCCTGCACAAAAGCCTGAGAAGATATTGAAGAAGCGGCAGGAGAGTGGCTTGGAAAGCCCCTTTATTTCACAAACTGCTCCTCCCTGGAGTCCCCTCATTTCCTAACCACGTCACTCTCCTTCCAAACCTGACAAACATTTGACTAAATAGGCAAGCATATAAATTCACCATTTCCATTAGTGTGCCAGATACCGGACAGAAGCATTTACAGTGTGCTATAGAAGGTGGATGGGTCCCTGAGGCAGCTGGAAGTTGGATGTTATGCAACTGTCCAGGTGAGACACTGCTGCAGCAGTGAGGAGGGGTTGGGACTTTGTGCTGCTCCTGCAGAAAGCCTGAGTTGGGTTCCCAGTACCCATATGGTGGCTAGCACCTGTCAGTAACTCCAGTTTTAGGGGATCTGACGCCCTCTTCTGGCCTTTACAGACATTGCCCAACATGGGTGCAGGGTGCACTTACATGCATGCAGGCAAAACTTACTCATACACATAAAATAAACATAAAACAATAAATAATTAAGAACAAATAAAAGGACTAACTCCTTGCTAACGAAAGTTGAATTGAACTTGGAGATCCATCTCTCAACCCAACTGAATTCCTTCCCTCAGCATCTGCATCCTCTCCCTCTCCAGTGGGCAGAACAAAACAATATAATCAGGATGGACAGTCCCTCCCTACAGGGCACTGCCAACCTGACGGGCCCCCATGGAAGCCTGCCTGTTTCTCTTTCCACTCTCTAAGCACTCACAGATGTCTCTCTGTTTTCCTCTATTACACACCTTCCAAACAAGGGAGGCTGATCAGATACTTGTAAATATTTTAATCTCTTTTTCTTTTTTCTCTCAACATCAAAAGAAGCAGGGGGTGAGTAAGGGGATGTTTTTCTTCTTTCCATGTGGAGTTTACATTGGCAAAACCTGTAAGCAACTTCATTTCATACCCTAGGGGGAAAGGAATGGTGAATCCATTGGCCAGACAACTGTACTGAGCTCTTAACCCCTCAAGCTCCAGCAGGACTTCAGAAGTTGAGAAGGAATCGGAACCAGGGACTCACCAACATGGCTGCAGACGGGGATGGGAATCAGTCAAGGTCCAGCTTCGACACCTGGAGTATTCGCTACTTCTGCACTGCTATGTGAACTGCCTGACAAAAATAACCTAAGGGAAGGGAGGAAGGGCTTGTTTTGGTTCATGGTTTCAGAAAGATTTCAGTCTATCAGAGTGGGGAGGAACTAGGGAGCCTGTAGAGGCAGGAATGGGTAATGGAGACTTTGGACCTCAGAGAAACAAGAGAAAGTGAGCCGGAACCAGAAGTGGGTGCAACCTTCAAAAACCCGCCCCTAGTGGCTTACTTCCACCATGTCCCAAAGGTTCCACAAACTCCCAAAACAGCACCACCAACTGGGGACTAATTGTTCAAACATATGAGCCTGTGAGGCCAACTCACATTTAAATCATAGTAGTCAAATTTCTAAATTGCTGTAAAGTCTTCAGATTAGGGAACTGTTCCCAGAAGGAAAGGACAGGGATGGCCACCGGCGGGTTGAATGGCTGAACGGGGACCCACAACATCAGACAGTTTGACAACGTCTTTCAGAAAGGACCCAAAGCCTTGACTAGGAGGGGATATTGTTTCATATGCTACAACCTTAACACTTATCTCTGTGCAGGAAAATATTTACTAGAGAATGGCTGGCATGTGAGATAAGGTCGGTGTAAGAGATTCTGTTTTGTATTTACGTGGGCCACACACAGATATACACACACAGACACACACATGGGGAGAAGGGGAAAGAGAGAGAGAGAGAGAGAGAGAGAGAGAGAGAGAGAGAGAGAGAGAGTATATTCATGTGTGCAGGTGCCCAAAGAGACCAGAAGAGGGTGTTAGATACCCTGTAGTTACATAGTTGTGAGCCACCCAATGTGGGTGCTGGGAACTGAACTCAGATCCTCTGCAGGAACAGGGCTCAGGTCCTCTTAACTGCTGAGCCATCCCTCCAACACCTCCCACCACATTTAGAGGGTCAAATCAGACCCCTTTCAGGAATGTAAATTCATGCAAAACCTGTAAAAAGCAAATTGACCAAATGAGTCAAGAACTGTAAAAATATCCAAAATTTTTTACTCAAAAAAATCACGTCTGGAGTTGGATCCTAAGAAAATAGCTCCAAACACAGAGAAAGATGTTTGTTATGGTGGTGTTTATAGTAGGAAAAAAATGGGAACATCCCATCTTCCAATTTGTAGGGAAAAGGTGAGAAAAACCAGAGGGATCTTCCTCAGGAGCTGCTAGGAACAGTACAGGGAAGCATTTTATAAGATGGGGAAATGGTTACAGTAGAATTTATGTACACATTGCTGAGCATGGTGGTGCACGCCTTTAATCCCAGCACTTGGGAGGCAGAAGCAGGTGGATCTCTGTGAGTTCAAGGTCAGCCTGGTCTACATAGTAAGTTGAGAGAATTATGTGCACTGTGAATGTCGTGGTTGCAGTGAACAGTGACAATTTAAAATTTTGTGTACACTAGACTTTCAACCATAGGCACCAGATAATGAGGACAGTGGGGGCAAGAAGCCCAGCCAGGCATGGTGACTCCTGCCTGTAATCCCAGCACTTAGGAGACTGAGGCAAGAGGATTGCCTGGGCTACATAGTAAATTAGGTTAGCCTAGACTACAGAGTAAGATCCTGTATTTATGCTTGTGGTTTGGTGATAGGTGTATGTATGTAGGTTTTCTTGCTTTTTTATCTTTTTCTTCTGCATTTGTAAAGAGTTTGATAATGAAGCGTTTCACTTTTAAGGTAGAAAATAATTATGGGTCTTCAAAGTAGGAAAGTCATCAAGAATTTCAGCTTTAATCGCTAAATGAAAAGCTTTACGTCGGTTCATTTTTCCAAATTTTTTCTTGCCATGGAAAAGTCTACCACTCAAGCATATTCACACATCTTTGCTCTCTCAAAATGCCCACGTGGCCCTAGCTTTCATCTCTAAGCAAGGAGGCTACCCAGTGGGGCAGAAGCAATTGTAGCACATGCAGCTAAATATAGACCGCTGCTTACGCAGGAAGACCCAGAGGAAGTTGGGATAAAACCTTCCACTGGATGACCTCATTCACTGAGGACACTGTATGCTCCTTCCATGCAGGGCTGCGCAGTCTCACATAAGTTCTCAACATCCATGTTCCAGATCAGCAGCCTACAGAATACAGACGCAGGAGGACCACAGAGTGAGACCCAAAGGGGGATGGGGAAGGAAGGAAGAAAAGTGGAAGAGAAAGAGGAAGAGGAGATGGGAATTTGAGGCCTGTGGAAACAGTCCAAAACCTGTGTGGTGAACACAGCAAGGCTGACTCTCGGCTGTGCCCTCCATGACAATGGCTCAGAAGTCCCCACCCAGGAGCCTCAGCAGAAAGGAGAACCAATTTAGAACGAACCCTGTATCTGAAAGACAAAGAGCTTCTGTCAGAGGCTGGCTAGGTGGGTATGAGGCAAGAAACTCCCAAGACACCCCCTGAACCCTTGCTCTGACTCTGCAAAAGCCAGATGGCAAATCTCCCTGGAGCCTGGGGTGAGGCAGCTCCAGAGGGTCCACTGTGGTTCAAAGGACACTTTTTTGTATTGTACTGGAGGGGCCGTCTTACCTCTTAATTATGGCAATTCTCCTTAGACCCCAAGGGGGCTGGGGATGTAGCTCAGTTGGTAGAGTGCTTGCCCAGCATGCACAAGACCCTGAGTTCAATCCCCTGGTACCCCTTTTGCCATAAAGCAAGCATGGTGATGCACACTTCTAACCCCAACATTCAAGAGGTGGAGGCAGGAGAATCAGAAGTTCAAGGCCATCCTCAGCTACACAGTAAATTTGAGGTCAGCCTTGGATCTATGAGACCCTGTCTCAAAAAACATACAGAAAGCCAGGCACGGTGGTGCATGCCTTCAATCCCTGCACTTGGCAAAGTGAATCTCTGAGTTCGAGGCCAGCCTACTCTACATAGCAAATTCCAGGCCATCTGGGAGACCCTGTCTCAAAAAGACAAAAAACAAACATAAAAACAAAACATACAGAGAGAGAGAGAAAGAGAGGGTGGCGGGAACCTGCAAGGCACTAGCTGATGAATACATTAGGAAACAAATAAGGAAAGGGGGACACTGTCATTTTGTTAGAGACAGCTCTGGTTCATTAGCCTCCAGGGTACTTCTTGGAAGGTTCTGGATCTTTGCTCCATCTGACTTCTCCCACTGATACATCTCCCTGTCCAGAATCCTCCTCCCACCTCTGCTAGGTTACCTTTATTTGTCTGACCAATTAGAAATGGATTTTTTTTCCTTTTTTTACTTTTCGAGTCAGAGTCTTACTATGTTCCCCTGGCTAGCCAGGAACGCACTGTATGATCCAGGCTGGCCTCAAACTTGCTATCTTCCTTCTGCCTCTGCTTCCCAAGCACTAGGATCACACACATGTGTTGCCATGCCCAGTGGAACTAATTTTTTATAAAGAAACATCTCAGAGTATAATGAACATTGCATCCTTCTCCCAAGAGCAATAATTACCAACTCATAGCTGATCTTGTTCCATCTGCACCCCACCCACCTCCTCCTTCCCCACCAATTATTCACAAGCAAATCTCAAATACCACATCATTTTATCCACCTGGAGCTCACATGCACACACACACGCACACACACACACACACACACACACACAATGACCAAATAAATGTAATTTTTAAAAATTTCAGTTCACTACAGATAAATCTGAAAGACAGAACTTTTCTTTAAGGGTTGGAGAGAGACTCGGCAATTAAAAGTACTGACTGCTTTTGCAGAGGACCTGGGTTTGGTTCCCAGCACATACATGGTGGCTCACAAAGGTCTCAAATTGCAGTTTGAGAGGATCCAATGCTCTCTCTGGTTTCCTCAGGCATTACAGGGACATGGTACGCAGACACACACTCGTACACATAAAATAAAAATAAACCTTTTTTAAAAAACCTTTTTGAGTCAGGGTCTTCCCGTAGCTCCAGCTGGCCTGGAACTCACTATGTAGACCAGGTTGGCCTCGAACTCACAAAGATCTGCTTGCCTCTGTCTCTCAAGTGCTGGGATTAAAGGTGTGTGCCACCACGCTTGACTTAAAAATAAATCTGAAAAATATTAAAATCTTATTTTGAGGAGTGAGTGGTACTGGAGATTGAATCTAAGGCCTTGTGCTAGAAAAGTGTTTTATCACTGAATTGTACCTCCAGCCCTAGATGAAGTCTTTTTAACAGCATTGTGAGTCTACCATATTTAAACAAAACAAAATTAACAATAATTCTTGAAAATCCTCACATATCTAGGCAGAGCTTAACTTTTCCTGATGTCATAAATTTTAAGTCTATTTGAATCAGGAGTCAATAAACTCCTTATAAAAGTGATTGGTTGTTATGCCTTAAGACAAAGGGATGAATTCTTAAACCATGAGATCCGAATTTCGGAGAGGTGGCAGTGTGGCAGTCCTAGAAGGTGCCAGTCATTGAAGCTAGGCAACTGTTCTGCCACGCACCCCATGGATATATATCAAGAATCTCCCATGTGCCAGGCCTGGGACAACCACATGCCCTTCAGGCATCTTTGTCCCACCAACTTGCATCCACATTAAGTGTGTTACTTACTGTGTTAGTCACCTTCCATTGCTGTGATAAAATACCATGACCGAGGCAACTTATGGAAGAAAGAGTTTATTTTGACTCATGATTCCAGAGGGAGAATCTGTCGTGACAGAAAGGCATGGCAGGAGGCAGCTGGAGCAGAAATCTGAGAGCCCACGTCTTTAGCTACAAACAGAGTGAACCAGAAGTGGGGCAAGGCTATGAACTCTCAAAGCCCACCCCCATGACACACTTCCTCCCGCAAAGCTACACCTGCTAAAGACTCCATGGCTTCCCAAACAGTGCCACCAACTGGGGACCAAGAGTTCAAATACTTGAGCCTATGGGGGACATTCTCATTCAAACCACCACAGCTACCATCCAGCTCCAGCTCTCTTCTAGAGGTCTTCTTGTGGGAAGCCTACCTTATTTGGCTGATTTTTGTTGTTGTTATGGCAGAGCCCATGGAGAGCTGTTTGTTTACCATACACTGCATCTGTCATGATACTGTTAAAGCCCCTTTGTACTCTGGCTCCCTCTCTCCAGCACCACATGCCATTTCAATAACATCTTGCATATTCAATAACATCTTGCTGGATGGTTTTCAGAACAAAGTCTCTGGTGCTGAAGCTGCTTC